CCCCCTTCAAGCCACATCCTGCCAGCTGCGGTAACAAGCTGTGGTGACAAACTGTGGCTACTGTCATTCCTTCAAAGCACTCCTGCAGAGCGCCTCACAGGAGTGAGGAGGCACTCACTGTTCAGGTGCTAGAGAAATAAAGCCAAGTAGCAGCACAGAGTCTGACCATGGGGAGTCTAATCACGAGGAGCTATATTAATCTGCAAAGCACTCTAGACTCTCTGGGCCCTGGCAGGAGGTATGGGGAACGTCCCCTCCCACAGACTGTGAGCTCTGATGAGCAAAGATGGTCAGCCCAAATGCAGCCTTCCTTTGCGGCCTTGGGATTCTTTCAACAAACACTTGGTAAGAATCCACTTATGAGAGAACGCCCACCCACCCCCCAGCCCCAGGGGGAGCAATGAAAACAAATCAAAGGTCCACTTTTTCCTTGAGAAGTTTATTATAAAAATCCTCATAGCTTCGGGCAGACTCCGTTCTTTACGGAGCTCAGCCTCGGAGACACCTCCTGTTCACTCTGTGATGCTCCAGACACTGAGGTCTGAGAAACCTGCTCATCTGAACATGTGTTTGCCACATTTGAAAGTAGGTGCCCTGACCCTTAGGACCCTAGGAACAGATCCGAGAACCACAGGTTTATTCACACCACACATTCACACATTCACACATCCACTACACTCCTGAGTCATCATTAAAGTAGGCCATTCTGCAGCCACTGCCAGTCCAAACAATTATTCTCACCTCAGCCACACACAGATACCCTCTAGTTACCTCTGTGGTGATCTGGGATGCTGTTGCAGCACCTGGTGTGAACCGGCATGAAAGGAATCCCCAGAGACAACTATGTGTGAAAGAACTGTCTGAGGAGCAAAAGCAGTGGTCAGACAGGGTCTTGGGGGAAGCCTGATGTAAGTGCGGGTTCACACATAGCTGTTCCTCTACTGTTACTTCTAACAAACTGGGTACCATTCGCTCTATTATTGTTGAATGCAGATGGCAATATTGAAAAGGCAAGGATGACTCTAAGCCTTCTTTTGTCGCCGTGGCCAACAATGAGTCCATTCTCTCCTTTGTTACACCAACTCTGCCATCTTCTGGAAAGGAATGGGAGCGCCCAGGGCTTTCCACTCGAAGTCTGCTGGTAAAATGATAGACAGGTCACAGCACCTATGTCTACTTCTAGTTACTTTTCAGCATAAAAATTTGGTGGGGTTTTTTGTTGTTGTTTGTTTGTTTGTTTGTTTTTAAATCAGTCTTTTACAGTTCTCAGATTGCTTGCTGGCCAAGGTGTCTCTCAAAGTTGACACTGGAACTCTATGTAAAACTCAAGTGATATTTTGTATTAATATGAGTTTCTACTGTCACATAACACTGTGAAGTGACTTCACTGTATATACTAGTGTATTTTCTATCATATTTTGAGCTACCAAGTGAGTTAAATTTCTGAACCTATGAAGAACTGCCCTGTATAATATTGGTAGCCTATGAAAAAATGAGTTTTTTTTTCCTTTATACATATTGGTAATGGGTCTTGTTTTCACAATTGCTTTTTACATTTGTGTGCATATACCTGTATATTATAGTCTACAGTCATCAGAAAATGTGATTTAGTAGAAAATACATTTTTATGTCCCTCTGAACACATTGATTCTGAATAAGTTTACAAGTTATATATAATAAACTATTATTTTCAACCACAAATAAAGATGTACATTGAAATAGAAGGTGCATGCTATATTTAATGTTTTTCTTTGTAATATGTTTTCAACATCCTGAATCCCCAAGTCCTAACACCTTTTGAGTACTGGCATGCGGGCACTAGTCCAAAATTCCAAACCATGAAACTGTGGATCACATGTAAAATAAGTAATCTGCATATGTATAAAATTATCTTCTGGGGCATACAAAACAAAGGAATGCTGTGTTTAGTCTTAAAGTTTATCCCTAATTTCATTGTGAAACATAAAGTTTCCAAAATTCAAGACCAGAGAGGCATGCTTCCTCCATCTTGTGTATTCGTAAGAGGAAGCTTGGAAAAACACGCATCCTGAGTGTTCTTGTGTTCTTCAGATCACGAATTTATACTTGTATTTCACACACAATGAAAGACACTGGCTTTTGTGACCAGAGGAAAACAGTCCCTTTCCCAAGAAACCCCACAAGACCTGAAGTACTGCAAACCTACTCAACAGACTTGTCTCTAGACGTGGCTAAACTGGTTCCTCACCCAGTGATCAGCTCAGCCTCCAGCCTCTCCAGTTCACCCCAGGCTACCTCTTCCAAAGCAGAAACTGGGGCTCTCATTTTAGTCTCCATGCAAAGTGAGCATAAAGCCTTAAAACTAACTAAGCATACCAAGGTTTGGTGATAACTATGTAACTATGTAGAATACAGCATAGGAAAGAAATGCCTAAAAGTGGGCCTCAGGGCCCAGTGTGTTGAGAGTCATACAGAGTTCTCTCTCCAGGCCTCCCTTCCCACTCCCTGTCTGTCACCATGTTGCTCCCTAGATACCTACTCTTTTTAACTATTTCACTGTTTCAGTCGAGTCACACAAAATGCCTTCCACGAAGCCAAACCAGGGAGCAATA